TGTAGAGACTCAGGTCTGCTGGTGGATGGACCGAATGTGTGAAGGCAAAGGACTCAACCCTCTGATGGAGCAGAGTGAGTTTAATTCTTCAGCAGTGCTTTTTTATACTCTCAAAACTAGAGTCACAAGCTTGGTGTTTGTGCCAGAATACATGAAAGAATTAGTTTCACAAAGAACAAAACACATTCTACAGATTTACATTTAATCAGTAGGCTACAAAGAGTGTATTAGAAGCCGGGTGTGGTGGCGCATGCCTTTAATCCCAGCACTTTTGAGGCAGAACTCTTTTGAGTTCAAGGCCAGCCTGGTCTACATAGTGAGATCCAGGCCAGCTGGGGCTACAGGGAGACCCTGTCTCAAAAAGACAAACAAAACAAAAAAAAAAACAAAGCATATATTAGTTTCTTACACAATCTATAGATTTTAACAATTTCCAGGAAGGCTAGTTAGCCAGTGAGTATATTTAACATTAAACAATCATCCTGTGTTTTGCAGTACTATGACTTAGACTTATGTTTTTCTCTGATCTATGACTAAGGCTGCGTTCTGCTGAGCCCAACATTCTTGTTTGCAAGAAATGTCCAGACTTCATCCCTGACCATTCTTAGCCTCTTGCTGTTCGCCTCATTCCCCCCCCCCCACTTTTTTTTGGCCATGGTCTGCATCATAAGGATGACTACTGCAGTTCAGTGTTTGCTATGATTTGGATTTTCTTTGATAATTTTCCAGACTGAAATCAATAATACAAAAAGACACAGGATTAAAATAAAAAGCAGTGCATAAGCAGGACTAAACACATGTAGTTGATTAAAAGGATTAATTTTTTTCTAGATTACTGACAATATTATGTCATTTCCAGATAATTCTTTCAATTGTTCACCAAACACATAAGATGTATCAGACTATAATCCTAATATCTCTTTGAGTTAAGTTTCCATGATTAAGTAAATGTCTCTTAACATTTTTCCAAGGGAATAAGGTAGCATTCCATTGCACAGGAGTAACATAGAACCAAGACACATTCCAATCACATTTTAAGGTTAATTGTCTTTGTAAGCTAACAATTTGGTCTCCTAGCATTACAACAGTGGATTCCAAATCTGTGATTTCAGCATTAAGAACACTATCAATATGTCTCTGAGAGTTCCATAGCTTTTTAGAATAATTATATGGAATCTTAAATAATAGATGAAAACAATTATCATAGACATACATATATGACACAATTACATGAAAACCAGGTGCACCCAAAATATACTACTTACGGCACGAGATGTTGATGTCTAGTCCTGAAAGTAACTATGGACACAGGATCCAGGCATGGTGGCATAGCATTTAATCCCAGCACTTGGGAGGCAGAGGCAGGCAGATCTC